ATTAGGCATTTTCCCTTTCGCCACCTAGCGACGATAATATATATATATGTATTTAAAAATTTTTTTTATTTTGTATAATGAAAATTATGAAATAAATAAGATATTTTTAATAGAAATTCTTTGTTTATTAATGTTATTATTAATGCAATATTATTAACTTGTAACGATGCATCCCGGTACATCGTCACGATTCCCAGCATGATACTCGCTGGAAGCTGCCGCCCGGCAGAACATCCGTCGGACAGAGGTAGGGGCGCGGTGCGCCCATTTTTTAATACTTTGTTAAACACGAAGTCGTTAGGTTCAAAACCGACCGACCATCGCCGATCATATCCGACGTGGCCCGAAAGCAGGCGAAAGCCGGCATTCGGCGCACACCCGAATCTCTCCGAGCGGGCCCGACCGCACCGTTTTCCGTTCGGAAGGGGTTATACCGCCGCGCGCCGACGCGGGCAATTAGCCCGTATAAAAAGAGTCACATTTCGGCGTATAATTACATTCTCCTGATCCGCTCTAAGCAGTAAGCTTCAGAGAGAAATCCGAGAAATCCAGACTAAACCACAACTATCACGGATGAAAGGTGGAGTGAACTCCGTCTTGGTCGAGTGATCTCGATTCCAACGTACGCATGCATCCACCTAATCCTGCAGCTAGGCCATCCCGGAAGATGGAGCTCAGAGCCGTCCCGAATCGAGAGTTCTCGACCTAGCTGCACCGCGAATTCCATTCTTCGCGACGCGATCTTTACGCGCATCTGTTAACGCACACCAGGCGCATTGCACGCATTTAATTATCACGCGTATTTGTCAACCAACGCCGAGCGCACCGCGCATTTAATCATCACGACCTCCGACACCGTCGTTGAGAGCACCGGAATATAATAATAACTGGGAAACTGCGTTTTCCCCGAAAGCGACCGTCAATCACGCGAAACTGGGAATTCCCGGAACGCCGGGATTCCTCGCCGGAAAAAGCGCCGCAAAAACTCACGCACTGACCTAGGTTCGCGCGTCGTAAACACAAGTCCGCGTGCGAATTAAAGGCTGTAGTTTCGATACTATCAAACTACATACAAGATCAGCGTGCGCTACGCACACACACTCTCGCGCGCGCGCGCGCGCGCACACACACACACACACACACACACACTGTAATTATCAAATAAATTATTTTTATTACACACATACCGCGCGTATTTTCTATCTAGACCCTTGCACCGGCGATCTATCCGTAGCAGCGAAAACGTCCGAAAATACGACCGTTATAAACTTTTTTTGAGTTTTTTATAAATTGGTACTGTGAATTCTTCATTGGTCAAATGAATTCTTCATTTTAAAAATGCGGCGCAATTAAGAAATCCTTACAATGGCCTTCTTATTTATTTTTATTAAAGATTGAGTTTCAAAATTAAGGCAACATTAGAAAATCCTTCTAAGGTCCTTGTAGATTAACACACTAACAAAATCTTATTTTTTAAAAATATTGAATGAATATATATATATATATATATATATATATATATATATACAGGGTGGGGAAAAAGTATGGAAGCAAACAATTATTTCCAAAACTATTCATTTTTCGACAAAATGTCTTAGACATAATTTTTATGGTATGAAAAGATGTATTATGTGGCATAGACGGCATGACCTTGAAATGACCCTTACGAGCTGCATACAAATAACGTAAAAAATTTCAAATGGAACTCGTCAGTTTTTGTTACAGATTCTTGTAGCTGATGTCGAAACGTTTACAAAACACTGCATATGAGCCCTATTCCCTTAAAAACACTCCCAGTTACGAAACAATTATGATACAAACAATTTGTATGCACATTGACATTGCTTACTGATTTCGCATCATGACGTTGCGTCCACTAATAACATGTAATTGTACCTGTTGTCATATGATACACTGTCTATGAGTATTCATAGAATCGCACTTATTTTGCCTTAACTGGTTGGATGAATCGCACTTATCTTGCCTTAACTGGTTGGATGAATCGCACTTATCTTGCCTTAACTGGTTGGATGAATCGCACTTATCTTGCCTTAACTGGTTGGATGAATCGCACTTATCTTTTCTTAACTGGTTGGATGAATCGCATTTATCTTGCCTTAACTGGTTGGATGAATCGCACTTATCTTGCCTTAACTGGTTGGATGAATCGCACTTATCTTGCCTTAACTGGTTGGATGAATCGCACTTATCTTGCCTTAACTGGTTGGATGAATCGCACTTATCTTATCTTAACTGGTTGGATGAATCACGCAATCTCTTTCCTTGAGTACGGTTCGATGTACGCCTTAACTGATTCTACGAACTTCGCGTGTCTTTCGTATCGGCAGAAATGATCGAAGCGGGTTATTCTCCATTTATTGCAGTAATCGCTACTGTTGTACTGATCTCTCATAATGACGTTCAGTCGCGTTACACACATTCATGTAATCACACGTACGCTGTCTATTTTCAATTTCGTCGATACGAATTATCACAATTGTTTCGTAACTGGGAGTGTTTTTAAGGGAATAGGGCTCATATGCAGTGTTTTGTAAACGTTTCGACATCAGCTACAAGAATCTGTAACAAAAACTGACGAGTTCCATTTGAAATTTTTTACGTTATTTGTATGCAGCTCGTAAGGGTCATTTCAAGGTCATGCCGTCTATGCCACATAATACATCTTTTCATACCATAAAAATTATGTCTAAGACATTTTGTCGAAAAATGAATAGTTTCGGAAATAATTGTTTGCTTCCATACTTTTTCCCCACCCTGTATATATTTAAAATGTTTTTATAATATCCTAATAAGTTTTACTTCTCACTATCTGCAATATTAAATTAAAGCATTATTAAAAGCAAAATTCAATTGAGGCTCTGATACATATAAAACAATATTAATGATCTTATTTTAAAAGTGCAGTACACTTAAATAATTCTTAAAAGGATCTAATGTATAATAGAACCTCAAATTAAACTATAAATTAAACATCGGATAACTATTATAGTTTTTTTTATATGTTCTTAGTAATTTAATAAGGCCCCTTATTGATGATGATAGAATATCCTTTTTTATGACATCCTTACATTATTGATGATGATAAAATATCCTTTTTTGTGACATCCTTACATTATCCTTATCAGGGCCAATGATTTCATGTACTAGCTCTAATAATTTTCTGCACGGGATATGTGTATAAATTTTTCTTTATATTTAAAAATTTTTGTGTCTATTAAAAAAATTAAGCTTGTTAAAAAATTAAGCTTGTTAAAAAATTTAACTGTTTACATACAAAATCAACATTACCTATCAACGTAATATTTGACAAATTTTATCTTTTGATTATTTCTGTTAGATATACTTAAATTGATATTAATCATTTTACATTTGAAATATATATATATATATATATATATATATATATATGTATGTGTGTACAATCAGAGAATATTTCGATAAATATTGAAGTACTACTACTAAGAAAAAACGGGTGCACAGATTTAATATTATTGTTAAATAATAATGCAATTTATCATCGATAATGCGTTTCTTTGATGTAGATACAATTTTAATTTTAATAATACAGCTGTATATCGTAAAATAAATATTATATCGTTCGTTTGTATTTATCCTATATAGCGCTGTGCAGTCGATTTAATTTTTAAATAGAGACCACAAAATAATAACGAAAAATATAACAGTGGTAGCGATAATAAATATTTTAATAAAATATTTTTACAATATTCATTAAAAACTTGATAAAAATTTTACGTATAATTATTATCATAAATGTGACGTCTCTAAAGCTGGATCTACATTGGTCGTATCGTAACGTCACAAAGGAGTCGCAAGTCGTAAGTCGGCAAATTGACCAATCATGGTTGATTATTTTTGAAATATCGACTATGGTTGGTCAATTTGGGTACAACTTACGACTTACGATTCATTTGCGACGTTACGATACGATCAATGTAGATTCGGCTTAACATTCGCCACCATATGACATGTGCCGCGCCAAGCGTGAACTCGGAAGGCGGCGGCGGACGCAATGAAGTCGGTACAAATTACAATTATAAATTACGCCGCTAAAGGGCGCAACAGAAAAAGATTTTTCCGCACATGGGAAACATCAGAGAAACTATGTATATAAGAGGAAGCGAAAATCGAATCGGCACCTCGCTGCACTCATAGGACTAGCTTCCAACTTTCTAGCGAATCTTAAACCTTTTGATCTTTTGAACTTGCCGGATCATCCAGGTCCTCGTAACCTTTTTGATCTTTGAGATCTTCCAGATCCTCGAGATCATGGTGTAAGTAACAAGGTGTGCTATCTTCTCGGACGAATTTTGGTCACATGCGCATTCACCAAGTTTCCGCCATCTTACAAAATCACCATAGCAACGCGACGCTGAATTTAAAACGATATAATTAGTCTTATATACTTTGTAATTATCATAATTATTAATTGTGATCGTATTATTAATTAGCGACGTGAGCAATCGAGTCCCATTCATATAAATGAGTGAAATCATTGCAAATAAATTGAAATTGTCAAAAAGTGTTTTTCCGATATAATATATATGCATGTTTTGCTTCATATCTTTTCTTTCAGAGCCAAATAGTAGTACATTTAATTATTCTCCTATTCTGAAGAATTGAAATTATTGAGCCAAGTAGAAAATTTAGAAGAAGTTGTGAACATTATAGAAAATGATGGCCTAAAATATATTGCGGGTTATGCCGCTCTTTTAAATTTATAAATAAATATAAAAATTTAGGTACTCCTACTGAGATGTTGGTTAATCCAGAAAATGATGGATTAACTACATTTCTAGAGGGAAAATTATAAGTCCTTCTTCAGACTTATTCAAGGTAGCAAAAGTAATGAATGAAGAATTTCAAGATTACCATGGATTCTTCATACGGAAAGATCCGTGGATATTTAAAACAGTCGCTGATACGGTTGAAAAAAAAATGAAAAATATAATAATTCCGCGTGAGGTTCTATTATGTTTAGTTAGAACAAGATCATACATAAGACTTCGAATAATTAATAAAAAAAATTTGGCAGAAAATAATAGAATAAAACATAAAAGAAAAATGACAAAATTCACAAATAAAAAGTAATTTCATTTTTATTATATCTTCTATATTGTTTATTATGTGTTATGTATTCTCTATCGTTTATTATACGTTTATTGTTTCTTATGTATCTTATATTTGTTTATATTTATTTATATTTATGTTTGTTTATATGTGTTTGTATTTATTATTTTCTAAAAATAATATTCATAATTATTATTATATTCTAAAAATTATATTCACTATAATTATAATTACATACACGAAGGATTTTTCATTAAAACCCTTTCTTTTGTCCGAATCTTTGTTTTAATATCCATTTAAATTATACAAGATGGCGGAATCTTGTCACGCTCTCTTATTGGTCAGTAGAAATGCCTGCGCAATAGCACACCTTGTTACTTACACCATGCTCGAGATCATCGAGATCGTTCAGATCCTCGAGACCTCCTAGACCCTCAAGATCTTTCAGATCCTCTAGATCATCCAGACCTTCGGAATCTTCTAGATTCTCGATGCCGGACAATTCCCGGAAAACTGTCATCCAATTCCTACCCTAGAAGCTGATCCGTTTCGACTTCGTAGAACGGATAATCTCTCCGAAACTTGCGACTCCTCTTGTGCCTCTCCTTCAAGAACTCCTCGTCATCCGAAAAAGAGAAGTCGAAGAATATCGATCTACTCAACAGTAGAGGAGAGAAACTAAGAAAAATAAATTATACTAAAACTGTGCCTATAATAACCTGGCGGGCAAAAATTGTTAAACAATAAAATTTGTAAAATAAATCAAAAATATAAATAAAAAAAATATGTTTACAGAAGAAAAAACCAAGTAAATCATTTCACTACAATAAATAATTTTGATAATCTTATAAAAATAAATCTGCTAATAGTATAGAAAAAGAGAATCAATAAATTTTTCTTTAAAAATGCACAAATAAAAAGACTAATGTTATTTTAGACGAGTCCTCAACTTTGTTCAACGTAAATCGAAAGATCTTTCTATAAAATCTCTATAGATCACTCTATATAAACTAAATTATTTTTTCTAGAGAGGCAATTGATCAGCAAACCAGTTTAAAGCATGATTCTTCAAAGGAGTCAATTCTTTCCTAATTCTTTCTACGGAAGATTCTTCCTAGTTACAGTTCTGATAAAATAATAAAGAGGAATGTTAATTCATTGAAATTGCCCTGCTGAAAGCAAATAGATAGAGAAAGAAGTAAACATGAAAATATAAATCATATGAATGAAAAAATAGCTTCCAATAGATGTGAGCTGAGAAAATTCGCAGAAATAGAGAGACAATCAAAGAACCTGAGGAACCAGTTTAACAAGAGAAGAAAAGGTAGAGGTTTAGAAAAACAAATGGAATCGCAAATGGCTCGAAGGAATTTATGTCTGCTGTAAAGGATGCGTGTAAGTTTACTAAGAGCTGACTAATTAGGAATGTTGGGAAAGAACAATGGAAGCAAGGATAGCGTTTAAATATTCACGTGCGCGAATTTTTATAGTTTATTATTAACAGATTATATATTAATGTACATATAAACATGTACTGTACGTACATATAGACATACACTAATACGTATTTTATAATACAGTTTATTATATATATATATATATATATATATATATATATATGTACACAGTATATAATATAATATAAAAATATAATATAAATATATAATAAATGTGTGTGTGTATATATGTATATAAATCAAACTTTTGAGAATGCTTGTGTATGTTGCAATCAACATCGCAAAAGAAAAAATATTTTCAAACGAATATTTTAGTATATAAATATTATTTTTTCCAGAGTATGAAGTTTTAGTTTATTTTATATATTATATTTATTATATATTATATTTATTATATATTATATTTATTATATTATAATTTTGTGATATTTTTTTAGGATTTTGTATACATATTTTCATGTGTGTGTGTGTGTGTTAATTTAATATAGTGAGTTTTGTACCATATTATTCTTATGCGTAGATGTATATAAATGGATCATTGAAATATTTTTGTTTGTTCGAAAGTTGGACTGAGATACGACTAGATGCTGTTTTTCTGTTGTTGAGTGAAATAGTGAGGGTGGTTCTCCAATCTCTCTCTTTCTTTCTCTCACGAGCGTCACGGCGCGGCTGTTTCTGGGTTTGGTCTGCATTGCGCATTCACGAGACAGGCGCATCGTAGCGGTGGTCGCCCGTCGTCGTTGTCGTCGTCGTCGTCGTCGTCGTCGTCGTCGTCGTCATCGTCGTGGTCGCCATCGAATCAGTTTCGACGGTGGCCTTGATAAGGAATTCAGCGCTATCGGGACGGTAAAGAAAGGAGAATACAAAGTAATACGATTCATCTACGAAACAATACGAAGAGAGAGAAGACGACGTTTGTCTTGTTGAAAACGTGGTAAGCGACTCTTCCAAACAATCTTCAGAATCGAAATTAGAGACTCGGGTTTGGCATAAAAGGATGTATTCGAGAGGCTCGGAGAAAATTCTTCGCTCGATTTAATCGGTCTTTATATATTTGACTCAACTGTCAGGCTTTGCCTTTGAGGCAATCAAATTAGGTGAATTATCGTGAATAATAATAATTAGGGATATAGGATTGCTGTTACGTTTGTAAAAAATTATATTTCGGACAATGAGGTGTGTGTGTGTGTGTGTGTGTGTGTGTGTGTGTAAAAACTTTCTATCATAAACTTTTATATAAACGCTATGATAAAAATATGTTCCTAATATTAAGGAGAATTGGACGACAAAAGTTAATAAATCTGATACATATGTATATATACATATTAATTTGACATATTGTACTTTTGGCGTTATAAAATATAATCCCTAAAAACTTACCTTTTTAAAAAAAGATAAAAAAAGGGCGCCAAATTCATGCATTAATTGTATCCAACTATTATATTGTTTACAAAAATAATGATATCAAAAAATTGCGCCAACTAAAAATAAAAATTTGTACAAGATAAATAAAAGTACAAGAAAGAAAACTTGTACAGGTTAAATAGAAATATTTTAATTGAAAACATTATTATACAAAATAGTTGTTTTAATTTTCAAAAATAATAATATTAAAAAATTAAAAATTTATTTACAAATTAAAAACTGATAATTAATATAAAGCAAAAAAGTAAAAAAAATTGTAATTAAAAAAAACTGGCGCTGCCAATAAAATTGGCACATATTCCAATTAAATATATATTTAAAAAATTGGAACATATTCCAATTATTAGTCTAACATTTGAATTTAATTTCTTTAATTAATTTATATTGATTTACATTTGGAAATTTAGACTTTTAAGTCTGAACAATATATTAATAAAATTGGCAGCGTCAAGTTTTTTTAATTAAAATTTTTTTACTTTTTTGTTTTATATTAATTTTCAGTTTTTAATTATTTGTCAAAATTATGGGAATTTGAATATTTTCAAATTATATTGTATAAGCATTAAAATATTAAATAATATGAGAGAAAGTGAGAAATTATATTATAATATATAACAATTATATAATACAATAATATAATTATATAACAATAATATTAATGAAAACTCCAAGTAACTCTGTTTGATAAGTAAGATATGTACACACACACACACATACGCGCGCGCGCGTGTGTGTGTGTATGTACACATATATATATAAATATTCATATAAAACCTAAAGTATATGCATATATAAATTCCTTATATAAAAAAAAGAATATACTTTTTTGTCATATAAGATAACATTACATATAAAATTTGAAAATTAAAATGAAATTATAACACCTTAGAAAGAGGCATCAAGTGCAACTTGAAAAATTGCTATTCTTCGTTCAAAGGTTATTTTTTCAAGAGAAGTTCCGCGACTTTTCGAAACTAGTTTACTTTATATATATATATATGTATCATAATCATATATTATTTATAAATTTTTAAATAGCGAGACCGCGAATCAATCCAGAATTGTGACTAAACAAATGAATATTTTCTCGGAATAATTATATAAAATTGAGTAATACATACATATAATATATATTGTGATTTTGTAGAAATATACAAAATCGATCGAAAGATTGTAAATACTTTGATTTTATTCCAAATACAAAAAACATAAAGACAGCTTAGTTATATTAGTAAATATTGTCATAATATCAAATGTGATGATTAATGATAATAATAATATCGTTTTGATTGATATTCGTATTATATATTTCGAGATAACAAAATTTTAGTTTAAAATGATTTTCGTACAAGAAAATTTTGCGAACATGGAAATTTTGATTTTAAAGAAATTTGTATAAATGCAAGACAAGTAAATAGAATGAATTTAGAAATTTTTATTTGATACTAAAATGATTTTAAAGACTAAAAAAAATTATTCTTTATACGTATAGTAACTTTCGATTTTTCTCGATACATCTCAAAATTTGAGATATCAAAAAATATTTTATCAAAAGCTTTATAAAGACATCTTTATTTAATTAGATCAATATAATTATGAAAAAATATTTGTTAAAAAAAGTTGTTTTAAAATTTTCATTTATTTTAAAATTTTATTTCCGCCATTAAATGGAAGTGTTTCTATGATAAAATTTTTGAAAACAGATTTTTTAAAATTTTAATTAATTTTAATTAATTAATTTTCGAGATAAAAAGCCGATTTTATATATAATGGATGATTGTACCTCTTAGAATCATTTTTTGAAAATGATTTTAGCACTAATTGAAAATTTTGGGATTTCCTTATTAGAATATCTTATTTTAATATATGCATATATAATAATTTCTTTTTATATTTTCCAATTTTTTTACTGAAATTTAATTCTCCAATTTTTTGTATTGAAAATTAAGCTTGCCTTTTGAAGCATCTTATATACAAAAATTAATCGTTAAATTATTTATTATAATCAATTTATTATAATTATTTATTATAATCACATAATTTTTCCATAATTATTATTTATCTAAGAAAAGGCTTGCCAAAAAATATCAATGATAATTTTTGTAATTTTTTATTATGACGTGATAATAACGAGAATTTAAAGTTTCTACCTTCTTTTAGATTTTGGAAATTCTCTCGTCCCAGACATATCAATTTTTTTGTATAGATATATACATCCCATATATTACGACGACGTGTACTTTACTGAACTTAACCACTTGAAAAATCACTCGATCAATGACTTATTTAATATTGTAAACTTTGAACATCTGCTGTCATTATTTGTTGTCTATATGTACCTCATTGAATTCTGCTGATACTGAAAATATAGATTTTTGTAGATTTCAATTACAATTAAAATGCTTTCGACTAACGGAACGGATAATATATCTACATTACACACATGAAAGTTGAATGTAATAAATAATAATTTTGATGCCATTATGATAATTTTTAAAAACTTTCCAGACAGCACAAAAAGGCCAAAAGATGTCTTAAAGATGTCTAGAGGACTTTAAGATGTTTTTAAATCGTCTTTTAGATGTCTTTTGGACATGTTTAAAAAATTATATCAATTAAGGATAAAAACTTGTACAAATTTAAATAAAAATATTTTAATTAAAAATACTGTTATACAAAATATGTAGGTTCTTAATTTCCAAAAACAATAATATTATAAAGTCAAAATTTTATTTAAAAATTGAAAATTGAACAATAATATATAAAATAAAAAAATTAAAAAAATAAGAAAATTTTAAAACTTGATGCTGCTAAGAATAATATGCTAATAAATTCTTCTTATACTTCTTATACTTTTAAGCTGAACAATATGAATAATATGCTAATAAAATTGCAGTGTCAAGTTTTTTCTAATTAAAATTGTTTTTATTTTCTTGTTCCAATTAATTTTCAATTTTTAAATAAATTTTTAATTTTTTAATACTATTATTTTTAAATATTATTAAAAAACAATTATTTTATATAATATTATTTTCAATTAAGATATTTTTATTTAAACTTGTAATAATATAATATAAGTTTTTATCTTTAATTGGTACAATTTTTATATCGCTATTTTTGTAGGTAATACAACAGTTTTATAATTGGTACTTACACCTTTTTTTATAAATATAAGTTTTTAGGGATTATATCACTTCTTTTTTAGTGTAATTTGCTTAGAGATATTATATTAAAAACAAATTAAATAAAATAATATGCAATTTATAAATTACATCAAGTTTAAATTATTAGATTTAAAGATAATATAAATATATTTTACAAATAGAAGTACAATTTAATATTATTTTAATGATACATATAGAGTTGAAAATTCTTAAGCTAATATATTTCAAAAAATTTGCTTATAAAGAAGTAAAATTATATACTTTTCTCCTGTACAGTATTTTTGGATAGTAATATCAGATTAACATGTATTACACACTTTTTATTAAACATATTTAACATATATTACTTTTTATAAAATATGATTCATAATAAATATTATTTCTAATAAATAAATCATCTGTATGTATGCTCTTATGTATGCAAGATAATAAGATAAGTCATATAATACATGTAACTTTATGAAATAACTTAATCTATTGAGAAACATGAACTGTATATATATTTATAGAATATATTATTTGTGTTTAGTTTTAATAAACGTATACAATAGGATACGGTTATTCTTCCGAAAACAATCATGCTCCGATTTGAGTCAAATTTTGCAAATAGGTTCCTTTTAAGTACAAAAGAAGTATATGAAAAGGATTTTTGGCGACTCGAAAATTAAGACACTTTTTAAACCCTTTTTCGTAAAAGTGAATATTACCTTTAGACAGCTTGTTTGAAATGATAAATATCTAGAAAAACGATAACTTCACCAATGACCTTGGCAATTTGCAATTAACAATTACATATTTTTTTCTTAAAAATAACTATGTGTTTTCTTTACACCAATTGATTTCTCTCATTATTTTGTACATAAAAGTATTAAGGTAAGATAATCGGAAAATGAATATTTTATAAGATATTTTATGTAAAATAAAGAAATGATTTCAAGTCTCATAAAAAGTACTTAATAAACTTACTTGAAAAGTACTTAATAAAAACTAACTTAATTATAGTATTTTGGAAAGTTCTCGACCTCAGCTATAAGAATATGTAATAAAGAATAGAGATTGCCATTTAAGATTTTTATAGTGACCTTGACCGCGCTTTTCAAGATCATCTCAAGGTCAAATAAATACCATCAGCTAATAGATTTTTTAAGCCATTTTTTCTGTCTAAACCATTTTTTTTAATTAATATTTTCTAAGATATTTAGCCGTTCCGGAACTTTTATCCTACCCTGTATATTACATGAATTATTTCACATACATAAGAACATATATGGATGATTTATTTATAATAAATAAATAGTGTCTCTCTCTCTCTTTCTTTCGCTTTCTTTCTCTATTTAAATATATA